CCCAGGTTCCACCATTCTTCCTGCCTCGCCTCCTGGAGGTAGGCTTGGGTTACAGGCACTGCCCACACAAGGCTGAGTTTTTGTATTATTTAATAGAGACGCGCGGTTCACCATGTTGGCAGGCTGGTGTTGAACTCCTGACCTCAGGTGATCCGCTCGCCTTGGCCTCCCAAGTGCTGGGATTATAGGCATGAGACCACCGCACCCGGCCCAGCTTTGCCTTTCTCAACTCACATCTGATGGCAGAGACTGGCCCTGTGTCCACAGGAGTAGAGACGGGGTTTCACCATGTTGGCCAGGCTGGTCTCAAACTCCTGACCTCAGGTGATCCACCTGCCTCAGCCTCTGCAAGTGCTGGGATTACAGGTGTGAGCCACCACACCCGACCCTCTAGAAGAATTTTAAAAATTAAAAAACACAGGCCTGGCCAGGTACGGTGGCTCAAGCCTGTAATCCCAGCACTTTGGGAGGCTGAGGCGGGTGGATCACGAGGTCAAGAGATGGAGACCATCCTGGCCAACATGGTGAAACCCAGTCTCTACTAAAAAACCACTACATTGTACACTCTAAATGGGTGAATTGTAGGATATGTGAGTCATGGTTTTTGGGTTTTTTGGTTTTTTTTTTTTTGAGATGGAGTCTCACTCTGTTGCCCATGCTGGAGTGCAGTGGTGCAATTTTGGCTTATGGCAACCTCCGCTTCCCGAGTTCAAGTGATTCTCCTGCCTCCCGAGCGGATACGGAGGTCAGGACGCTCAAGAGCAGCGCTGGCCAACATTGGTGAAACACCGTCTCTCTTAAAATATAAAATTTAGCTGGACATGGTGGGGGCACCTGTAAACCAGCTACTTGGGAGGGACTGCAGCAGGAGGAATGCTTGGAACCCGGGAGGCAGAGGTTGCCGTGAGCTGGAGATCGCACCACTGCACTCCAGGCTGGGGCGACAGAGGGGACTCAACCTCAAAAAAAAAAAAAAAAAAAAAAAAAAAAAAAAAGGAGCAAGGAAACCAAGCAAAAAGGCA